CAGTGTGCTCATAGGAAACGTGACAAAAGAACACAAAACACATTTCTCTTTATGGCCTATATTGTTGTCATCATCAACATAACGTGATTTACAGAATACATGTGACCTACTAACATTTCATGTTCTACCACCGGATGTTTGGATCAAAATATGAACCAATCAGATCTTAGATCAGGTGAGAGCCAGGTGTTTCCCGTCATCCCCTATGTTTTGCAGCCGGTGGAGAGCAACTGCAGCACCTTGCTCCAAAATCTGTGGCCGCCTTGATCTCACGAGGTTATCGTTGCCTACGTATGCACGACGTCAGAGCAAGTCGGCGTCAATTCGGACACAAATCTAACCGGCATGCACTGCTCGCCGATCACTGCTGATCTAATCTGCGCAGAACTGGCTCATCTCGAACACAGTCAACGTCTCGAGTACAGCAAAGCGAAATTGGTGATGTACTGCGTTGTATGCCATAAGTATGTGACGACAAAATCGAGTTTTGTTGAGGGAACAAACAAATTCACACTTGAATACGTTATTATGTTTGAATGTGTACAAAATAAAGGTTTATTACATTTAAAACGGTTCAGTTGTTATTTTGACTCGTTTCGGCAGCTGACCAGGGGGGCCGGTAGATTCTTGGCAGGGCCGGTAAATATTCAGAGTTACCGGCCCGGCTGGCTGGTTGGTTTTGAAGTTAATGTCCACCCCTGCTTGAGGTCCTTAAATCGTGGATCTAAGGCAGTCGTCACCTTTAATAAATAAAACATAATAATTATTATTGATGAAAATTTCACTTTCCAAATCTAACCTCCATAATTGTTCATGACTCCTTCATCTATTCATTTGACCAACCTACTAGATGGTTTTCATTTCCACTGCGCAGACCGCAAGAGCGATCTCTCTGGCAAAACCAAAAGGTGCAGGTGTCTGTTGTACTAACAACAGTTTGTTTGGTGTTCTGATGTGACCATAATCTCCCAGCACTGTTTTCCTGATTTAGAATGCCTACTCTTCAACTGTAACCCTTTGTACTCTCCCCGTGATTTCTCCTCATTTATTCTGGCCACGTCTACATCCTGCCGAGCACAGACATGCACGCAGCGCAGCATGCACTTGTGGATAAAATTTTGTGCGTGGAGTAAAAATATTGTGATTCCAGCATTGTTCCAACACTCACCAGACTGTATTTCAATAACGACAAACCATGGCCAAACTCAAGTCAGCTCAAGATGGAGTGCGTTTACATGCAACCAGTAACCCTTTTAAAACCTGAATATTCACAATAACCCGGTTCCGTACAGCCATGTAAACAACGCCAAAAACCCGGATATGCTCATAACCGGGTTTTTAAAAACCCGGTTACTACACCTGGGGTAACCCTTTTCTAACCCGAATGTTTGGTCGTGTAAACGCATATCGGGATATCCCCATCAAAGCATGTGTTCTGCGCATGCTCTGTTCGCAAGGAATCTTGGTCTTTTGAGTAGCGAGATGTCTTGTATGCACCAGAACACTGGAAGTAAACAACAAGTTGGGAGCAACATGGCGAGTCGCGGCACAGCACCACACTTTTGGAGTGACGAGGAAGCTAAAGCACAAACAAACGCGGTCGCTATCTCTTCCGAACTGGGAAACATGTTGTTGTTTTGACGGATACCGGAACAAGAAGAACCGGAAAAGACGCATATTGCGTCTGGACGTAGTCGATACGTCCTGACGCTACCCCAACGTCCGCATTTAAATCGGGTTATGCAAGTTAGTGGTAACTCTTTCTATTTATTCTTGTAAATGGGTTATTCTGATCAACTCAGAAACCCGAATACCGACCTTAACTCGATCAGAACCCGGATATTGGCTGCATGTACACGTAGTCATGGAGAAGGAGATTTCATTTAAAAACAAAGACACAGAGAGCTACAAAAGAGGTGAAATACAGGTTCAGCAGGGAGGTGAAAAATGCTAGATCAAGGTACTCTGAGAGGCTGAAAGAACAATTCTCAGCTAAGTCTAAGGAGCTTTGAAAGAAAATCGTCTGGACTTCTTTGAGTTGCTTGAAGACGTTTCACCTCTCATCCGAGAGGCTTCTTCAGTTCTAAGGTAGGGCTGGGGATATGGCAAAAATAGAATATCACGATTTTTCCAATATTTTATCACGATTTCGATTTTATCACGATTTTTTATCCATGAATAGCATAACTTCAATTGCGTATTAAAGAAGAGAAACATTGAATAAATAAACATTTATTCATATTAGGGATAATCAACACAGTGCTAACACACTTATATTTTAAACTCACACCAGAGATGATAAAAGCCCTGAGAGAAACAATTACACAAATCAGTTTTTCTCGTTTTTCAAGTAACTTTACATAAATTAAAATCGTAAACATATTTAAAGTGCAAACTTGTAAATTGCAAACGTATTGTGCAAACATTAACTTGTTCAAAATACTATGTAGCTCCCAGTTGCTCATGTAGTGGATAGTTAAGCTCAAATACGGCTCGGATGTGTGGCTGGGCCAGAGATCGCTTGTGGTAGCAAATAACTGAGCATTCTGAATATTTTCTGCAACAAGTCTCTAAATAAATTAAAATTTTCCAGTGCAGATTGGAGACAACCCATAGAAGCACTGATTTGATCTCATTTCAGAGAAAAATAGAACAGGTTAGATGCACCTAATAAATAAAATTACTAACAAACTCAGGAATCTTTCTTTGCTTCACTGTTTTGGTGCTGAGAATATCACTAATGCAGATCAAAGGAGATCCACAGATGAATGCACCTCTTATTTATTATTTGGAGACTACATTTACTGCAGCTGGCGGAGGCAGAGATTTTTTCTATTGATACAAGGAATTTACAGAATCATTTTAAATGTTAATAGGGGAAGACTGCAGAAGGGAGCGTTAAAATACAGGGGGTCCCCAGGAAAAACATGAAACACTACTAGTCTGATGAAACCCGCTGGTTTTCCATCAGGCAGTCACGGGGCAGCTCCAACGACCCAGTGACCGAGCTCAGTCCGGCTCGGCAGAGGGTGAACGAGCTGAGGCGACGTCCTGCTCTGCTTAAGAAGTGTTATTTTCCCGCTTCAGAAGAAGCGTCCAACGTGTTTTTACGCTTTCTCCGAGACATGTCATGTCGCTAAGTTGTTAGCTAGCGCCACGCGCTAACACGTCAGTAGTGCAGCGTAGCCTGCTGGAGGTTTTAAGGGTTCAGATGAAACACCCGACCTCTCACGCTGCTCACACATCGATCTTAAGTTGTCACTGTTGCGCTCACGCCGTAATACAGTATTAGATGCGGTTAAAGTCAGACATGAAAAAATACATTTTACATGAATAAGTGATGCTTAGCCTGGTGTGGGGGGGGGGGAGGACCTGGCCTAGTAAGCACTGGAGGAAATCCTGTCAAGATCGTCAACACTCGTTTATCTTTATGCTATTGAAACATGTAAAGCACAAAGCATTATATCCACTGCTACCTTTCTAATTTTAAACTCAGTAACTTATGCTGTAACTTCACCTTGCCCTGGCTGCTCCTCCTTGCTGCCCGCCGGCTGTGATCACAAGCGACAGCATAGTAGTTCCTGCTGCTTCTTCGGGAAACAGCGCAAAAATAAATAAATAAATAAAAAACTTGGGATCTTGTAGGCATGGCGGTGGGATTTCAGCCTTGGCCGGCCGCCATGGCTATGCCTATGTAAGGGAAACCCTGCGTTCCTCTTCGTAACGAAAACCTCATTGTCGCTCTCAGCCGCGGCCGAAGCCATGTTTGTTCACACACAGGTGAAAACAAGCGGGGCACTAATATATTACTATGACTCACTCTGATTGGTTATATATATATAGAAATGATATTTTCTTCTTCTTCTTAAGGGTCAAACAAAGGTGTGTCATTCGCCTGAGGTAAGTTCCCTTTTCATTCAGAGGCAGAATTTCAACAGCAGAGAGCTGTGAATCGTGATAAAAAGGTCTCTCAAAAATGACAGACCGTCAGATGTGTAGATCGTAAAACGGTCTAAAATCATCATATCGCCCAGCCCTATTCTAAGGTCAAATGGCGGAGAGTCCCAGATTCAAACCCAGTGGGAGTTTCCCCCCGAAGAGGGAACAAAAGACCCCCTGATGATCTTCTACATAAACACATGAGCCAAGGTGTGGGTGTGGGTCCTATTCAGCCAGAGTTTCAGGTGAGCTCATTGTGAAGCCTGGCCCCACCCTATCATGTGAATTCCTGAGGTCAGATGGCCCAGGATATGCGTGGGCAATGACTACGTTTACATGCAGCCAATATCCGGGTTATGATCGGGTTAAGGTCGGTATTCGGGTTTCTGAGTTGATCAGAAGAACTCGTTTACAAGCATAAATAGAAAGAGTTACCCCTAACTTGCATAACCCGATTTAAATGCGGACATTGGGGTAGCGTCAGGATGTATGGACTACGTCCAGATGCAGTATGCGTCATTTCCAGTGTTCTGGCGCATACAAGACGTCTCGCTACTCAAAAGACCAAGATTCCTTGCGAACAGAGCATGCGCAGAACACACGCTTTGATGGGGATATCCCGATATGCGTTTACACGACCAAACATTCGGGTTAGAAAAGGGTTACCCCAGGTGTAGTAACCGGGTTTTTAAAAACTAAGCACTAAGTGCTAAACACCTCTGGGAACTTCTTCAAGACAGTTGGAAAACCATTTCAGGTGACTCCCTCTTGAAGATCATCAAGAGATTGCCAAGAGTGTGTAAAGCAGTAATCAGAGCAAAGGGTGACTATTTTGAAGAAAATAGAATATAAAACATTTTTTCAGTTATTTCACCGTTTTGGTTACGTACATAACTCCACATGTATTCATTCATAATTTTAATGCCTTCAGTTAGAATCGCCCAATGTAAATGGTCATGAAAATAAAGAAAACACGTTGAATGAGAAGCTTTGTCCAAACACGAGAATTTTTTTTTAATTCACATTAATCTACATTTTGTTTTGTCTTTTATCCTGTCCAGAACGTCCACAGCATCATGTCTGGGAAAACAAGATGGCTCTGACTGACCAGCAGCTCTCTAAACAGAAATGGACCTCCAGTTTGGACCAGAAGGAACCAGAACCTCCACTGATGAAAGAGGAACAACAAGAACTCCTTATCCATCAGCATGAAGGGCAGTTTCTTCTGAAGCAGGAAGTTGTTACCTTCATGGAGCCTTCTCCTTCTGAAGAAACAGATTGTCATGAACCAGAACCAAACAAGAACCAACCCTTGTGTCAGAGTACTACAGAAGCTGAGAGCCAAGATCAGGGTGGATGCAGGAAAGAAAACTCAGAATCAAACAGCAATGAAGAACTGACACGTAATAAAATATGCCAATCCAAAGATCACAGAGACAGTGTAGATGATAAAAAACAAAAAAGGCACAAGAAGGCTCACACAGGTAAGAAGCCATATCCATGTAAAACTTGTGGTAAATGTTTTAGTAACAGTAGTGCCTTGATTACACACATGAGAACTCACACAGGTGAGAAGCCATATCCATGTAAAACTTGTGGTAAATGTTTTAGTGTCAGTAGTTCCTTGACTACACACATGAGAACTCACACAGGTGAGAAGCCATATCCATGTAAAACTTGTGGTAAATGTTTTAGTGACAGTAGTGCCTTCACTACACACATGAGAACTCACACAGATAAGAAGCCATATCCATGTAAAACTTGTGGTAAATGTTTTAGTAACAGTAGTGCCTTGACTACACACATGAGAACTCACACAGGTGAGAAGCCATATCCATGTAAAACTTGTGGTAAATGTTTTAGTGTCAGTAGTTCCTTGACTAAACACATGAGAACTCACACAGGTGAGAAGCCATATCCATGTAAAACTTGTGGAAAATGTTTTAGTAACAGTAGTGCCTTGACTATACACATGAGAACTCACACAGGTGAGAAGCCATATTCATGTAAAACTTGTGGTAAATGTTTTCGTGACAGAGGTAGCTTTACTACACACATGAGAACTCACACAGGCGAGAAGCCATATCCATGTAAAACTTGTGGTAAATGTTTTAGTGGCAGTCGTTCCTTGACTACACACATGAGAATTCACACAGGTGAGAAGCCATATCCATGTAATACTTGTGGTAAATGTTTTAGTGACAGTAGTTCCTTGACACAACACATGAGAATTCACACAGGTGAGAAGCCATATCCATGTAAAATTTGTGGTAAATGTTTTAGTGTCAGTGGTATCTTGGCTACACACATGAGAACTCACACAGGTGAGAAGCCATTTCATTGTAAAAGTTGTAGTAAATGTTTCTCACAGAGTGCTGCTTTGATTTATCACATGATAATTCACTCAGGTGAGAAGCCATTTCATTGTAAAAGTTGTAGTAAATGTTTCTCACAGAGTGCTGCTTTGATTTATCACATGAGAATTCACACAGGTGAGAAGCCATATCCATGTAAAACTTGTGGTAAATGTTTTCGTGGCAGTAGTTCCTTGACTACACACATGAGAACTCACACAGGTGAGAAGCCATTTCATTGTAAAAGTTGTAGTAAATGTTTCTCACAGAGTACTGCTTTGATTTACCACATGCAAATTCACACAGGTGAGAAGCCATATCCATGTAAAACTTGTGGTAAATGTTTTAGTAGCAGTAGTTCCTTGACTACACACATGAGAATGCACACAGGTGAGAAGCCATATCCATGTAAAACTTGTGGTAAATGTTTTAGTATCAGTAGTTCCTTGACTACACACATGAGAATGCACACAGGTGAGAAGCCATATCCATGTAAAACTTGTGGTAAATGTTTTAGTGGCAGTAGTTCCTTGACTAGACACATGAGAACTCACACAGGTGAGAAGCCATATCCATGTAAAACTTGTGGTAAATGTTTTAGTAACAGTGGTCACTTGACTAAACACATGAGAACTCACACAGGTGAAAAGCCATATTCATGTAAAACTTGTGGTAAATGTTTTAGTAACAGTAGTGCCTTGACTAGACACATGAGAACTCACACAGGTGAGAAGCCATTTCACTGTAAAAGTTGAAGTAAATGTTTCTCACAGAGTACTGCTTTGATTTATCACATGGGAATTCACACAGGTGAGAAGCCATATCCATGTAAAACTTGTGGTAAATGTTTTAGTGACAGTGGTCACTTGACTAAACACATGAGAACTCACATTATATCATTGAATTGCTAAAGCCTCATACTCCAACCCAGCCCTCAGGTCCACAAACTAGAACCTTCTAGAAGTTCCAAAGACCAATTATAGAAGTCCAGGTGATGGCTCCTTCCAGACTGTTGCACCCTGACATTGGAGTGGTCCTCCTTTTAGCCTTACGTAGTCTTGACAGTCTGGACACTTTTTAAAAAACAGCAGAAGACCCTTTCATTTAAAGCTGCTATTTCTAAACATTGTATTTTCTTATATTTAACTCAAATTTGTAATCATCTTTCCTTTGTTTAATGGTATTTTATAAATACGTGACTTAGATTTTTATTTCTGTTTTAAGATCACTATGATTTTATGACTTAATGATTTGTTTTGATCTATGTGAAACACCATGTGATTTTCTGTCTGTGATTAGTGCTATATAAATAAAATGTACATACATGTGAAAAGCCATATCTAGGGATGCTCCGATCAAGTTTTATGCTTCCAATCACGAATTCAAAGAACGTTGATTACTGATACCGATCACACAGCTTGGCCAAAAATTTCCTGTGAAGTTAAAATGTTTTTCTAATTTTTATTCTCCCTGTGTCTTATTGATTTTTAGCTGTTATTTTTGGGAATTTTGTTGTATTTCCTTTTTATCTTTTATCTGTGTTCGTCCGACATGATTGTATAACGCGGGTTTAATTAACTAACATTTCTAGTGTACAACGCCTTGTTTGGTTGTAATGCCATGTTGAATGCGCTTTATAAATAAAATTGGATTGGATTGGATTGGATATTTACATCTTATTGATCAGTTCATATATATGTAGCCAATCCTTAATGCAACAGTGTTGTAAACTTCTACCTTCTACTACCTTCTCAGATGTACCTAGGTTTGGTGCAGGTTGTGTTTTTTGTTTCTCCCAAGCCCCCACAATGCGGTCAAAAATTGAAGCAAACCCGGAAGTGAAATAAATTGCAGTTCCACCCTCATCCGCTGGGGGCTGGTGTCAGAAGCGAGCAAATCTTCATTGACTCCCATGTTAAAAATACCAATTTCACAGCAGAAATAAACATGTTTACAGCCTGGTACCAAAACATGTTTTTGGTTTAAATGATCTAGTTTACACTCATGACAACTCTGAGGGGGGTGAATTTTTTTCTCACTCTTCTGTTTAAATGTATTAAATGCCTAAAATTCTGTATAAATAATGAACATCAAACTCACTTGACTGCCGCCTCAGACCCACGTGACCACAGCTCCATGGAAAGGCCTCAGTAGATCCTCGGTCTCACCTGAAAACTGTTCCGCGATTTTTAGTCTCTGAAATTAGACCAGTAGTTGTAGCGTTTGTGCATTCTTTTTGGATGTTATTTGTGTAATTGTTGGACAAAATGACTTGCTGTGGTATTAATTGCACTAATAGAGCGTCCAAGGAGTCTCCACTTCATTTTTTCCGGTAAGTAAAATTATATTTATGTATTTTAGGTCACTGCCGCTTTTGCACTAGCTGAGCTTATCAAAGAACTACCATTTTAACATGTACAGTTTAACCCTGAAATTTAGATGTAATATACGGTAAAATAATGAATAGGGTATATGTGGATGGGTAAAACCATGGTAAAACCCAGTGCATTTAACATAAAAATGGGTTGAAATTAGGGATGAGCCGGATAAAGCATTTTTGACGAATACGAACATGAAATGAGTAAACCTCGTAAATATCTGTAATCGTGCTGAAGGAAAATCCTCATTGGGTAACTGACTGTCTTCACGCTCTGTGATTGGCCAGTCACATAGAGTGCCCGCCCCTCCCTACACACAAAACACTAGCCGGCCGGGAGCGCAGTCCGTCCGGCTCATCCATGCACACACACAGACAGTAACGGATCTCTGTGATTGTTTCACTGTTGCTCACGTTTCTTCAGTTTTCCCTAGGTTTTCTTCAGCTCGCCTCTTTTTCGGTTGAATATATAAGTTACTTTTTTCGTAACTTACGTGGTGCATTTGACAAGACAGAGCTGACGTTCTGCATCAGTCACTCACTACCTCCGCTCCAGTTGGGTTTTTTATTTTTTATCTCCATCTCTCTCCCTCTCACCCTCTCTATCTCTCTCAGAATCACACACACCTTAATCAACATTGTTTTGTTTAACTTTGCGTGGGGCAAAATGCCAAGAATGTTAAGAAAAAAATCAGTTTAATCAAATTAAAATAAAAAATATACATAAAGTTGTTTCTGGTTCTAGCATTTCATATTTCCTAGTTCCTACTGCATGAGTTCAGATGTATTAATCCATGCACTTAAATATTAATGTTCTAATTTTATTGAAACACTTGTTCTGAAATGGTTCATTTACTTTTGTGATCAAAAATATTTAATCTCAATTCTGAGGCTGCTCTGTAAATAGCTTTCAAATAAACAATACACATATCAACTTCTGATCATTCCATATCAATTTCAGACTTAAAATAATATATTGATGTAAACCACACCCACTTCTGGGTTATGCCACGCCCATTCTGAGGACAGATACAGATAATTTAGTTGGTTGAACAGATACAGATAGTGGTGTACTTGCTCATCCCTAGTTGAAGTATGACGGAGCTCTCGGAGGGACACTTCTGTGTTCCATTCTTCCCCCCGGTTCTCCCCAGTGGTCAGCCCGGCGCATCTCTGACCGCTTCGGCGCCTGGCTGCTGTGTGGGCTGACCGCTTGTGGAACGGACTCGGAGAGAGACCTGACCGCAGAAATACTGCAGCTCGGTGAGTTGGTTGATAGCAGAGGCGGTTTTACCGTTAGGCATAGGTCGGCGGCCGCCTGGGGCCCCCTTGTGTTGGGGCCCCCCTAGCCCTGACCGCCGGCACCCTTCTGTTAATGCCACAATAATCTTTTTAACAACCTGTCACTGCAGCCGGGATTGGACATGCTTCTCATTACCATAATTCCTGAACCGTTCAAGATATCATTAAAATTCTAAAAGTGCTGAAAATATTAAAAATGGGGCTTTTTGTGCATGTACAATACATTACGGTAGCCACCGGGATCCCCTGTCTTGAGCGCAACAAATCACAACACAGATTCAGAGACGTGCTGAGTTTGTCATCCAAAATGCTCTGTTTTATAACTATTGAAAGGCTGATCAGATTCAAAAAATTCCAACGGTTCCTAAAAGTACATAAAAACAGCTTTCCAACAATCTATAGCATGAAGCAATCAGAGTTATGGTCAATATCGCTACGAGGGGAAATCCTGCTGTACAGCCTGATTGAAACGGAGCGCAGCGCCGCGGTGAAAGCAGATAACGGGACGGGGAAGCTAATTAGCATAAAAAGCCAGCATGAAATTATGGAAATGCCTCAAAGAAAATCAACACGATCGATTAGGCTTATATCTGAAGACAGTGACCATGCAGAAGTACAGATCTCCGGTGAACCAGGGTATGAATGTTTGTTCAGTCTTTATTTCTTATTTTTTTATTTGAACAACCCTCAACTATTTGCTAACTGTAAGATTCAGCTTCATTCCAGCATTATTTATCATTTTACAATAAATAATTATTTTTGCTAAAACAAAAGTTTTTGGTATAGCAGTGCACGGTGTGCAAGAGAAGCACCCCATGGCAGTGTGAGGTGTGCTCTGCCTGCAGCTGGAGAGAAACTGCTTCAAGGTCTACCACATCAAATAAAAACGTCTGAAAGTTTACAAAAATAAATGGTCTTAAAAACTGCTAAAAAAAAGATACCAAGGTTCAAACTTTTTAAGAATAGATGCAGTTCAAAGTTTAAATTATTCATTCCAAATTGTTTGCCCAGTAATTTTGAAGTTCCTGTTCAGTAATAAATGCAAAAAAAAAAAATCAAATTTGTTTTTTGCTTTTTTTCACTTTTAAGCTGATTTTTTAAAGGCTTTAATAGAAATAAATCCTAAATACAAATCATCCACTGAAAGCTGAGGTTGTTCTGAAAAAAGGAGAAGAGAAATTGGGCCGGCCAATAGGTTACTGAGGCTAGCAGTGTGACCCACATCAAGATGTATTGTTGGTCTGTTTCTCATTGTCATGGGCTGACTGGTTCAGGGCGTTGTGGCAGGGCTGTCAATCACAGGCAGCACAAACCAGGATGGGCGGGGCCTCATCGCTGGTCGGCGGGAGTGCTTGGACAGTGCCGTGCCTCGCGGACTGTTGATATGAAAATGGAGAAGTCGAAGAAACGTTTTGGTGGCGCAGAAAAGTTGCGGCGAAAAAGTATGAAGTCTCTACAGGTGGGAGCTGCTAAGTGTTCACAGTTGGCAGACCTATTTGGTCCTGGGCCGGCCTTAGTCACCACCCCAGCAGGTGCTGCTGGTGCGCCAGGAGAAGAGGCGACACTACAGTAAGTAGCATTAGCACGGGGCTGGCTAGGTTACATTTTAAAACTTAATGTGTGTGTTCAATAAGAAGAAGAACACGTTTTATATCTATAGCAGTCATCATGTAGTATGAGCTAAAAAGGTCGTGAGTGTTGGTATTTGGGTTGATTTAGTTTAATTATATATGCCGAAGGTTGGTTTCATGTGACATCACAACATTCTAAAGAGCCCATAGTTGAACAGTGAGTGACCCCCTTTCCATCGGACTGGACCAGCAGCGCCAGCGTGTTACTGGGCAGCACATTCTCGCATATTCTGCTGCTTGTCCCTTCCTGCCGGCCGCTTATGAGAGGCGCATCTGTCGCAAATGCAGCGCGACAGCGCCCATGGTAGATCAGAAAATATAATTTTAATGCTCTGCACAGATTATTATCAAAACTTATTATTTTACTTAACGCATGGCGATCAGACACATGTATTCACTGCTGTATGAAGCAAATGTGTGGTAACAGCCCCCTGCTCTTCTCCGCTCTGCTTTTACCTGGTTTTTAACAGCTCCTCCGTGGACGTGGTGCAGTGATTTAATGTTCAAACTCCGTGGATTATCATCAGAACTCATTCTAGGCAATGCAGGACACTCCAACCATGGACGTAATTTTCACTTTAGAAGTGGGGGGAACACGGGTGTGTGTGTGTGTGTGGGGGGGGGGGGGGGGGTATCTTTACAGTATGCTCTAATGGAAAACAGGCTTCAACACAAACAGTTGTTTTCCACTTGGTCCTAGAGCTCAACCAGTGTCAATTTAATATAGCGTAATATTGTTTTTGGATGGTAAAAAGTGCAGGGGTCAAAACTTGACTTTGGAAAAAGTGGGGGGGGGGGGACATGTCCCCCCTGACCCCCCCAAAATTACGTCCATGACTCCAACTGATTTATTATTTGTTGCATCATGGAGGAGAAGTGTGTCGAACTGTCCTGCTGCCCGTCACTCTCCCTTCTGTCACAGTTTCTCCTTCTCCTGCCACCCGAGGCTGGAGAAGGAGAAACTTGAGGGGGGGAAGCACGGCCGTGATGCCATCATGGCGGCATCAACGTTTGTGTCGTCCTGGAGAAAAAGGTTTGTGAAGATGACAACAGAGGATCATTAGGGTTGTAACAGACAACTTTCAGCTAATTCAGAGGATAAAGATGATAATTAAAGACACAATAAAAAAGTTTTTTTCCTGATCAGCAGGATCTTTGTAGATTCCTTAATTTTCTCACAAATTATTACAGTCTAATAAAAGCATTATATATATATACCACTATTATATATATATATTAGGACAATATATATATATATATATATATATATATATATATATATATTAGTAGAGTATTACGGCAGCTCAAGATTTATTGGGATGTCTATTATGATTTAAATAAACTTATGAAAATCGTTTTCCTGGAGATGTAAGAAAAGAAGGCCGTCACAATAGAAATGAGATGTGGAGGACACCCTCCTGTTCATGTCAATAAAAGCAAAATTATTTAATTTTGATGGAAAAAATAAAATCAACAGAACTGTTTACATTTGCAAAGACAGCATCCAGTTCTTATTTTTGGCAACTTGGGGTCAGTGTTTGACTCCAGGGTGTCACCTAGAAGGGTGTCCAGAAGTGAGTGCAAAAGATCTAATCTGATCCTATATTCTTTTATTTCATTTGAAAATAGAAAAATTTAACCCTTTATTGAAAATAATAAAAAAAATCCCAAAAACAAAGATGAATGCTATTATTCGTGCAATTTAACTGGACTTCAGAGAAGTTGTCTCCAAGCTTTACTTCCTGGTTGCTCTGTGTTCTGACTCCTCTGGGTTCTGCAGAGGTTGAGCCATGACTGATGGTGTTTCTGTGTGTCTTCTCTATCATGATAAGCCTCTACTGCTCTGATAATAAAGCAGATGTGCTCCAGATTGTTCTGTATGATAAGATTGGGTGGTACTTCTCTTTATTCAGAACTGCCTTTTAGATGGAATGTCTGAATCATCACAGAGCCTTCTGTGTGTTTTATAGATGGATGCAGATATTCGCTACTGCACCTACTGGAGAGGTTCGCTGACACTTTTTAGTTTTTGAAGTTTGGTCCTTTTTTCCCCTGATTTGAATCAAACCTGATCATTAAGTTGAACACTTTTAACCCTCCCACTGTCTTTATGGGTGACCCCGTGAGGAAAGTTGACCATTGAGCAGGGTTGATGGTTTATCCCTTGGGGTCCACGTGGCAGGGGTGAGGTGGTGCTCACTCTTCACCCCTGCCACATGGACCCAAGGGATAAACCATCAACCCTGCTCAATGGTCAACTTTCCTCACGGGGTCACAGTGGGAGGGTTAAGCACAAACAAATGCCCAATTTGCTGTCTGAAAATAAAAGCTGCGTCTTGCCTTGGCAGAGGTTTCGAAGCAGCCAACAAACCCGTGCTCCTGGTAGAAGCTGTCCAGTTTGGGAAGTTTGGGACACAAACCGTGACTACGCTGGTCACATTTGTTGGCCAACAGAACAGCTGGAACTGGCCTTCCATTGCTCAGGGTGACCTGGTGGAACAGCAGACATGCTTGGAACTGCCACAGGTTGAGTCTAGTCTGCCCCCAAGAGGACACAACAGTCTACTGCAGCAAATTCACTTACCTTTGAATCCAGATCTCCTTTCCACTTGAGGACAGCCTTGAACGTGGACAGCCTCGTCATGTCGAAGACCACCAGAGCTCCCACAGCTTCTCTGCAATACACCCGGGTCATGTTCCCGTAACGTTCCTTTCCTGTTGGACAAAAACAAGAAGTGTTTGTGTTTCTGTCGTCCATCCGTCCGACTGGCCGAAAACTTCAGTATTAGACAGAAATGTGATCAAAGCCAACAGAAATTAGGTGCTTTATGAAAAAACAAGTTAAACATTTTATAGCTCAAACACAACCCTGAAAAACCACTTGTTTGTTATGCTGAATGGTCTTTAAACACACCTAACACAAGAATTCCATCTGATCACACTTAGCTCGTGGTATACACAAGTGAGAAATGCAACTGTAACTAAAGTTCAGAGGTTATTGTTTAAAATGTCAAAACTTCTGTCTTTTGTGTTAAGGGAGCTGCAAAGGGGACAACATGAGACAATTTATCTATTATAAAGGGTAATGCAACCACAAAAATAGCCCACAAACGCACTCACTCATTTTCTATACCACTTAATCCTCATACGGGTCATGGAGAGCTGGTGCCTAACTCTGGCAAACAATCCACAAATTAAAGCAAAATAAGAAAAGTTGAATAATGACATGAGCTAGTCTATGTAACAAACTGGCTAAAATAAAAATAGAATGGCATGAAGCACAAACAGCTTAATCATTAAAAAAAATGCCCACAAACAAGAAAAGGACATTTATACAATATTAATAGAAAATGTAGTATAAATAGTTTCTGTACAAATTTAGACCTCAAAACAACTGAAGAAAAAATGACTAAATTAGTCTGAAAATTACCTTTACATTTACATCTTTTTGGGATTTTGCATAAAAAATATCTAAATGATAAAGCAAAACAAAACATCTGCCAGCAGATGGAGACAAAACAAAGACAAGTTACTAACAAATTCTAAAAATACATTTTTCTGCTAAACAAACTAGCATAAAACATTTTTTCATGCCTCTTAACAACGTTCTAACATAGTTTAGCTATAATTGTTTTGCTGCGATAAAAGAAAATACAACAACTTGTGGTTCTCTTGCATTTGTCTAAAAACCCCCGCCAATAACATGCTTTGTCTGAAGCATCTACGGTATTGGTTGTCGCTTTTGCCAAACCGCCAATTTCCTGGATCCTCTGCTCATTATGAGCTTTTTTATTTATTTATTTATTTTTATTTTTTTTTTTTGCAGCAGAACACCACTGGTGTGAGAGGTTCTCTTGGCTCAACAATATCAGAGAAGGAGAAACAGCCAACTGCTACCACTTGAACTTTAGGACAAACTACCAGAGTCCAAAAAAGAAAAACACTATTAGAAGTCACAGACAACAAAATATGTTTAGACCTAGGTAATGGCGACTGGTGTTTAGTGCTTTCTTGATTACTGTGGTAATGCTGGTTCCGGTATCTGCCGGACGTGACTCAGGGATGATGGGTTAAGTGTTCTGTGACCGTGTTTGTGTTTAAAAGCTAGGTTTCCTTGCAGATTTGCTATTGCAGCTTTAATTTGAATGGTTTGTCAGCTTATAGCCATTTTTGGTTTCCTATGAACAGAAACTTCTGATGATGATATGTTACAACCAGGGTTCGAAATTAACACCCGCCAACCTGCCAAATGCGGGTTAAAAATCGTTTAGGCGGGTACTGTTAAAATATTACTAGCCAGTTTGGCCGGTGATCCGTGAGGCAACCAAGCAATTCATGTCAGAGACGCTCTGGGTCGTTTGCCCCCTCCTCGAAGATGAGTCACGACACTACCGTAAACCGTGTGCTATTTGTGACAATTTAGATGCCTATTGGCTGCAGCCAGTGTTAATTTTGGTGACAAAATATTTTCGTCTTTTTTTTCGTCACGAAAATATATTTACAGACGAAAATTAAACAAAATTTCAAAATAAAAGCTTGGAAAAAGACGAAGACGATAATTAAATTGATTCAAACTTTTAGTCAACGAATGAAAGACGAGACGAAAATCCACGATGACGCTCTACATGGCGCTCTATGGTGCGGTGCGCCCGTTGTGTTGTTGTGAGACGCGAACGTTGTAGAAGACAAGGGGCGTGGCGTGCCGTGAACGTGCGGGACGTGAGCGAAGACAGACCCTGAATAGTATAAAGGGGCAGGTATGCGCGGTATGCTAAACATAGCTCACTGGATATAGCTCACTGGATATATCGACGGCATAAGAAGAAGGAGTAGAGGAAAATGTTAACTGCTGGGCGATAAAGAAGAGAAGATGTGTGGAGTCATTTTTCTTATGATAACACTGCTACCAAAACTACATGCCGAGAGTGTGAACTGTCGTTCCGAGGAAAGAACACAACAAATCTGAGGCATCTACAGAATGGCCACTCCGCCATTTTCTCCGAGGTAAATCCACTTAAATGTTGTACACGTGACGACCCGAAAAGTAATATACAGGCAAATAAAACTGTATCAACTCTGTCATATTGGGATAAAAATTCGGAAGTACTGTATTTTCATGACTATAACGTGTGTTATTAGGGAAATAGCGAGCGAGCAGTGTTGATGCATGATTGCAGATGCGCCGTGAGCGGTTCTGGTACTTTTTGGGTCGCAGCCGCTCGCTGCACGTGCGCTCTAAACCAGGACTAGACCAGTAAAGTGAAGCGTGCTTTTGGCTGTTTATAATTTTCACAATGTCTGGATTGCACTGATATGATCCGAGTCCCGAGCCTGCACAGATGTTTTACTGGTACGTTTTATAACTCGGTGTGGGGGTGGGACAAGTTATCCCCACTTGTAGCAGCTGCTTGCTTTCTCAATCCTACTGTGTGTCAGACCCTCCTCAATGTGGCTGATAACATTCAGGAGCTGCTCAAGCAGGCCGAAGGGTATGTTGTTCGGTGCTCTCAGACATAAGAGCATAATCACTCACAAGAAGTTAAGAGGCCATGCTATGAAGCTCAGTTCACTGACATGTTTCTAAGTCACCAGAATTGCTAGTTCATGTTGCTGTATGTATATTTGTGACCCAGCAAATGTGATCACTTTTCTCTGTTAACCCATAATAAAGACATTAAAGAACCAAACTTCATGAATGTTTTTTGTGACAAAGAAGTATCTGTTCCAATCACTCTATCAGAGAAAAATCAGAGTTTTAGAACTAACGGGACACTCAGTAGAGCCATTATATTATATTTTTACAAGTGTATGTAAACTTCTGACCACAACTGTACTTGCCAAGGAGGTTTTGTGCATCCCAGCATCCTCTGTTCCTTGTGAAAGGGTTTTTTCCAAAGCTGGGGAGTTTGTCAGCAAAAAAAGAAATAGACTCAGCCCAGGAACTGTTGAACAAATTCTGTTTTTGAATAAAAATGACATTTGATCCCCATATTGTCACCAAGCACATCCACCTGTTCACAACCCCCCCTCACCAAAATCACCTACACGAAGTCCTCGGGACTACAGATGGAAATCAGCCCTAGGCTACAATCTGGCCTGTTAACATTCATGTTGTCCCTACATGTATATCCATTAACATGCACTGTCCCAAATAAACATTTCATTTCAAGTATTCACACCAAGAAAAGCAATTTTATTATATTTAATGTAATGTTCAAATTCAAGATACTTTTATTATATGATCCTGAGGAAGCTTTTTAATGCTTTATTTGTCCATAAAGTTCAATACACCATTCATTTTCAGTAGAATTGGCTGACAATACAATGAAGTACAAATATTTACCAGCAGATGTCCTCACAGAGTTTTGAAGCATCGACCCATGAACCTTTTTTCAATACAATTGGATTGTAAAGCTTTGTTGGTTCAAAATGCTTCACATCATCATCACTAGTTTCTGGAGGTGACGAAGAACTTGGAGGCGAGGAAGAGTTGACTGCATGCCGAACTCAAGTACAAAGCGCTGCTGGAGAAGTCTGATGTAGACATTATTGTCCCGTCTGGTCCACGCGTTCCCCCCTTTAAATAAAGCCTGTCCTGCCTGCGTCTGTTCATTAATTGGCAGTCCAGGCAACACTCTGCCACAGGTGTAGATGATTAGAGTGATTACACAGAATGAACACACAATGTTGCACCAAACTAAAAACACACCATCAATAAAAACATGCACATCAGAATAAAAACAAGTAAAACATGCAATATAAAATACAAGTGCAACATTACCACTCTGTGACAAGTATATAAACACTGCATTTTATTTGACATAATTTTACTTCTTCTGTTAATCATTTGTATTATAAGGAAGATGCACACATGCACAAACCTTTGTGGAATTTAACTTCCTGTTTAACTGCATGATTTCAGTGCCTTTTTAGAATGAGACGAAAACATTCCAAGAATAGCTTCAGAGTTCTGCTGCTCTGAGAAACACACACGCTGCATCATCTCTTCTTTGTCTTTCATGACTATTTGTTCTGCAATAATGGTGCGTAGTTGATTTAAATCCGTAAAGTGTGAAAATCATTCACAGCAGTAAACAATAAATCCTGACTCAACAAGGTAAATAGGACCAACACACACACCGTTAATCAGATGTCTCACTTTTTCTACTTGAACTTTTAAGCAGTGTTTTATTTCTAATGCTCTTGAACGAACCCTTCCCTCTTTGGTTTATCAAAGCTGCTGTGCGTGTGGTGGCCAAGCTGGACTCCATCTTTCTCCTCCCTCTCTTTTCTGTGTCCGCCATGTCCAGGATGTACTCCTGAAACGGGGCGTTAGTTTAAAATGCAGAGCACGATTGAAAATCTTAATCTTAAAAGGTTTTACCTTCACCATGTCCATCATCATGAGCTCCTTCATGCTCTCTAGCGGTCCATATGCTGGAAGGTAACACTGCTGCGCCAGGTTTCTGATGGCCATCAATAATCTTTGTGTTTCTACAACCTAAGAGACAAAAGAACACATGATTCAAATCAAAAGGCCTCCATCTTTAGACTGAAAACATTAAAGGCACACCATCTCTCTGCATGCATCCTGCTGCATGGTCAGATTGAGCTCTGCTTTCATGTTCTTCTCTTTGAGGGTTTCTGTGTCAGTTTGCAGATCAGAAACTTCCTTGCTGGCCATCTGTGTGCAGAGATTACCCAATTAAACATAATAATTTCAAAATACCACACTGAGCAAGTTTTCTGTGTATCTAACCAGTTTTCTAATGCTGTGCTGCTGCTTTGTGGTCCGCAGCTGCTGATGGCCCTGTTTAACCTCCATCTCCAGCTTCTTGAAACGCTGAAGCAGCTCCTGACGGGTGGCTGACAGGGTCTCGTAGCGCCGGATGATGGGCACGACCACAGCTTCGTAACCACTATTGTGGTAAACTGAAACCAAATCACACGCTTTACTCCATCTTCATAAAAAAAACTAGCACGGACAGGTTTGGACTTACTGCTGGGGAGATGATCAAGCGTCTTCATCAGATATTCCTCGTAGATTTTAAAGTTTGCAATCCTCTGAGTTAAAACTTGCTTTCTGTAAAGTTGACGTGGGATGAGGTTAAGAAGAAACGTTACACGCTGAGAAAGGAGTCGGGATCTCTCGACGCTACCTGGCTCTAAGGTGTTCCAGCTCTTCTGTCAAAGCTTCTATTTCTCTCTGTTTCAGGATGTTCTGCTCTCGTGTCGCTTCACACCTCTGCAGCGCCGTGCATCGCTTCGCTTCATTCTCAGCAACAAACCTTTCGAACTTTGTGGTTTTCTCTCGAGCCTTGGAAGAAGAAACCAACACAAACCCAGAAAATGAGCCCCACCAGGACTTTGTCACGTGAACAAAGCAGAACTCACCTGCTGCTGTTTGGTCTCCAGCTCGGACCGTCTCTGAGCCAGGACCTCAAAGCGGTTGTTGAACTCTTGTCTCTTGACTGCCAGCTGGACGTCAACTTCATTCAGCTCCTCTTGTTTCTTTACAACTTGTGAATTTTTCAAGGATTTCAGATCTGTCTCTTGGACTTTTCCAGGAGACCTGGTTTGCTCGGACTGAGTCACAAAGATGTTTCTTTTTTCCACACCAACTGGATCGTGGCGCTCTAAAGCAGGGAGAGACGATGTCCACATTTTTGTTCGCAAGTGCAACTTCCAGGAGTTCCACGCTCAGGCGATCAACAGGGGTCATTTTCCATGGGTTTGTGTGGCTGTTGCCTGGCAACCGTCAGAGAGGCAACCGGGAATGCACAGAGATCGTTGATGTGTTGTCATGACAACTGCCATGGAGACGGATCTGCCAGAAGTGACGGAGAAGAAAAGGCGTTCAAAGATGGGCAATAAAAGTGAAGATGCTCACTTGGTCATGGTTTTCTCCTATCTCGAACAAAGATGTGGTTAAAAAAGAAGAGGCCAGATTGCGAGGTCCTAACAACAACTTAACCCAGACAGATTAAAACAGAACTTGTGCGCTGCAGACTTTGGTTCTGAGAAATTATTAGACTATAGAAGCATCGCTTCAAAAACCACAGCGTTCATCTTTTGGTCAGAAAACAAGATGCAACTGCAAAAACTTATTTCTGCAGAGGTGCGTGAGCTCAGGGCACGCCTCGGATAAACTCCTGTTGATCTTTTAGCAGCAGCTTAGATCCATGTAGAATATTTATTTGCAAAAACAGACAACTCAGTTTTGTAAATGTTAAAAAAAATGCATCTTTTATCAAATGTGTTCATAGGTGATATCAATGCAAATAAAGTTTGGTGATTTTGCTTTTCATCTGTTTGTCCAAATGAACTCATCATTTGCTTCAGCCTCAAAGTGAAAAAGAAGAGAGACAAAACAAAAGTTATCCCCAACCAAAGATTACGTTGTTTTGCATTGCACACTTGCTTCGATCAAAAATGGTTATAAAATTGTAGACCTTTGTCTCCTTTTAGTAGCTTTTTTCTTTTTAGTTTGTTGCTCAAACTCCTGTTTACGAACTTCTCAGATCATTTTCACTCACATCCAAACCCAGAAATACCCTCTTATCCGTGTAGGTTCTCCTGCAGTCGTCGGGCGACCATGTGGGGTACACCCTGGAGAGGTTCACACAGGATAAACATCCTTGCACGCACACACACACACACACACACACACACACACACACACACACACACACACACACACACACACACACACACACACACATCTACACTTAAGGACAATTTAGAGACTGATCAACCTGACAGTCTTGTTGTTGGACTGTGCACAGGGAGAACACAAACTCCACGCAGAAAGACCCCAGGCTGGAATTTGAACGCAGGACCTTTTTGCTGCATTACACCCCTAACCGCTGCGCAGCCCTCCAGTTTGTTCTATCCCAATACATCCAAGGAAAACCCGTTTGATTTAAAAAGTAATTTATCACCAGTAAGGTGATAAATGCTCAGCAGGAAGAAAACAGGTGCTAACATGATTCACGTAACCGGTTTTATTTACTTCTTTGGAACTGAAAGCATTCCTTTGAATATTACAAAACCGGAAGCTGGAACTGCTCATGACGTTTTTTTTTTCCAACTGAGGGTTTCCTGACTAATTTTACATATTATTACTGATATTATAATCAGTTGCAAGCTGTATGGCGGGTATATTTGATCTGATTGTTACAACATTTTTGCTGCATGAATCAAGACAATTCATTATAAATTCAACACCTCAGATGTGCGTTTCTGTGCTACTGCGTCTCCACTTCCTCCTGCTCACAAAAAGAAACGTTGAAGCATCAGACCAAAGATTGAGGCCACTTCCAGTTTGTTTTCAGGAAGCGTTTTTTTATGAACACGTCCACAAGGTCCTTGTGAAAGAGCCATCAGCTGTCGTCGTGAGTTCCTCAGAAGCGTGCTCACACTTGTCACAGCAGCTGATACAACAGAGAGATAGCAGACAGTGTTTGAAGTTCATTTAGACACGAGCAATGCTGCAGAAAGCAGCAGCTAAGAAGTCTACATGGTAAGTGTCTGTTTTTTTTAAGAATATTTCTCCCATTATGTTTAGTATTCTCTCAGTCTGTCAGTTCTAATGCCTCGGGCCGTACAGCATCAGAATGAAGTGGACCCAAACACAGTTAAGCATGCCCTTAAAAGGTCTTGCAGCTGCTGCTCTCTGATTTCTGCAAGCACAGATGTAATCTGCTTCAGATGAGTTGGGTCTCCCTTTTATGCAGACTTCACACCATGCAGGTTGTAGATCTCATGCTCTAACTTCTGTTTTCGTATCCTCTCTTCTGGTTATATTTTTTTTTAGAATAAAGAAGAAGAACATCACTGGACATCCTGGTTTTTCACTCTGGACGACAGTTTTCGTTGTTTATGATGACCACAGTGAGCAGATCCAGGTTTCTTTACCACAGACTGAACAGTGAACTTAAACACAGGTTGTCCATCTGCTCCCAGGCTTGGCAGAATTCACCAAACAACACAACCTTCTTCAGGTATAAGAAAATCATATATATTTCATAAAATGTCAAATATTGCAAATCTTAGATGATTCTGAAAAAGTGCTAATGTGTTACAAATTCTCAAAACACACATATTACAACTGCAGGTGGCTTTTGAATTAGCAGCAGATGACGTCACTTCCTGTCAGAATATAAAAATAAATATCTTTAAATTACAATTATTCAACCAGTTGTAGATTTGATTTAAAAGACATCTGAGGCTACAAAATAAAACATCATTTAATGGTTTATTTACTTCCTGAATACGTCACGTACAAGCCCCTCCCACTTTAATGTCTTAAAATGCCTCGTGGGATATTTTTAGATGTATTTTGCCCCTAAATGCTAGACGAGTTTAGCAGAAATAACCTTGACATCAAACACAACACAACACTACGGCATTCCTGGTTCCTTTTTGCAACTAAAAAGCTTGAATTGATCGTTTTAAATAAAAGAAAACTTCATTTCTTGATTCTGTTGCTCTCAGCTGTAATTGATTTTAATTAAATGAAAGCTAAAATAAAAATGATGTACTACAAAGAACTTGAGGTACGTTGATTAATTCTGGCAAACAGCCAATTAAAGAAGAAAGACGCGTCATTATCTCTCGCGCCTGTTCGCCTTATCTCTGGATGTCTGAGTGGGCTGACATATATGGATGGAGCCGCCGTCACCGCGCCGCCTGACAATCCCAAAATAATCTGAGAGCACACAGCTGAGGCACGGAGCAGAAACACGGGAGAGAAGAAATCTGCCCACTCAATATGACGAAATTCAGCTACTCCGATTATTTGTCTCAGTTCC